ATGCTAATGCTAATGCCACGTCTGCGAGTATCGGATCTTAGTAATATCTGGTTCATCGGTTTTACTGCGATAAGGAGTGGTACATGCGTTCTAAATGAGATTCTGTCTGAAGTGGAGGTGCGAGAAACGTAAATGTAGAACAATGTTATATTGTCAAGATGGAATTGAGAAATAAGTAAAAGTCCATGCAATTTCTTCCGCTTCATCTGTTGCCGGGTGGCGGGGCAGCAGTCTGAGCAGAGACGCCCAGACTTCCCGATCCACACACACCTCCTCCAGCTCATCCAGTGGTTAAACTGTAAGTCATTTAACCAAGTATGTTAGTGTTGTATGAAACAACTTGGACTCTGAGAAGCACAGGGACTGGCCTCCAGAGTCAGGGATATTTATTTTATAATTTATTTTCTTGTTTTGTTAAGCATTTTGAGTTGATAAACTGTGCTATACAAATAAACAGGGCTTTCCTTGCATCGCCTCATGGTCGTATAAACCAGTGTGGCCAAATCCCTTCAAAAAATCAAATATATACTTAAATTCAATGTAAGAATGTTTTATAGTCCCTTCCTTTTTATTGTTTAAAGGAGATACAATAGAGATCATATGCAACAAACAGTCGGACCCTCAAAAAGAGTTCAGAGAAGCAAAAGTTGTTTGTGAGGAGGGCCAGTCAAAGGTTTGAGGCATTAGGAGTTTTCAATAACCAAACTCATACAGCTCAAACTAGATATCAGAAATCTAAACTTGACTCTAAGCTTGTGTCTATCTGAAAAAGCATTTGAAAGCTAGCACATAGTAGTTAATAGCGCTGGTTAGAGGCTAAACTGTCGTAATGTTATGCAGTTGTTGTCACACTTTCACTCGTACACCCCCTCACTCTCCTTTCTCTCTCCACGTCAGACGCCTGATTTATGGCTCTGTTTAGGCGAAGGCCACACGTCTCTCCCGACGCTGCTATTTGTTTCAACCCTGCTTCATTTTTCCACTTTACCCCTTCCAAGGCGGCCAGGAACCAACAAAAATTAACCCTTGTCTCCTATGCACACAGCAAACAGTGTTTTCTGCCCCCTCATGGAGCGCTCCTGCTTGTGGGGAAGTTGACAGGCCACATGGCGGCTGTAGCACTGCGCTGACAAAGTGCCTCTCCAGCCCGGCCTCTGCTGCTGTTGTTGGGAGTGTGTTGGAGATGTAGAAAAATGACATGCCACATGGATGCCATTAATAATGCTCACCGGCAAGGTTTTCTTGACGTGGGGAAAAATGGCCGACGTCACAAGGCCCTTTTATCAGCCTAATTTCATAAGAGGATTTCATGTCTGAGCAGGGAAAAGTGGCTATTTTTCCTCTTCTTTTATCTTGTAAACAGCCATTACTTGAAGAGGTATACAGGCCGGCTCTTGGCAGTAAGTGGATATGAATTTCAAGACCAAACCATCCTTTTATATCAGCCCCTCTCACAAGCGCTTTGACATAATCGTGACATCGGACAGCCACACTTTTTCACTTCACTTTGGTTTCAACTGTACCGTACAATTCAGAGCATTTGTTTGAAATTGTGTTCCTATTGTTGGCTCTAAGAATTAGTTTTTATTGATTTGTCTAGCAACATAAAGGTATTGTTTGGCTAAATCAAAACGGCAGCTGAAGACTAAATGACGTCGTGAATGTGATTGTGTTTCCATTGATTTGAAAAAAGAATATGTCTGACTCTCCATTGCGGTATAATGTATGCATATTTCCAGTGTGTCTCTGTACACTATCTGTGTCTTTGTGGCGTGTTGGCGAGGGAGAGGCTCTTGTTTACCTTGGTAAGCTGCCCATTGTCTCTGGTGGGAATTCCCTTTGGGATGAAGCACCGCGGGAACAAGGCACAGTGCGGCACAGGAAGCTAACTGCTGCTGAGACTGCGCTGGCAACATTTCTCTGAATCCGCTGGGATGGTGTGCCAGGGGTAACACAGCCATCTCCCGGGACTGGCATAGATGGGGAGATAGAGATAACAAAAGGGACAAAGGGAAAAACCAGCAACAAAAGGAGGAAAGAGAGGCTCCACAATAGAGACAAAATATGGCTCAAGATTTTAACAAAATCTTTTGAGGCGCTACAGCAGAACACATAAAGACATCCTGGAAATGTTAAGAAAGTAGTAGATTGTTGTAACTGTAGTCATTCAGTCACAAACTACTTTTTCCAGCCGAAGTATGAAGTGTAAATAACGACTGTAGTGCTTTTAGTTTAAGTTTAGGCTCAGGCAGATACTAAAACAAACAAGAGAAGAGTATTGGCCAAAAATTAGTTTTGGTGAAATCACGTTCTTTACAATCGCATGGCTGGGTTTGCAGTCACCAAACCCAGCCATGCAATCTCCTTCTAGTGGTAACATTGAGAGTTACAGGTGGAAAACATTTTTTTTGTTTTACTTTCTATATTTCATGCAATTGAAACAACAAAGTAAATAGTCTCACTGTTTTATCGGACAAACATAATACATAACAGTTCTTCTTTCAAATGCATTAGGTGAAAATGTGTTCATGATTAAAAACCTTTCATAATGACTTACTTTTCTGGTCTGTTCTCGTGTGCGTCCCCTGTACTGTAGACTGTGCACTGGATGTCCCACATATGGATTAACAGTTTTGTACTGCTATGATATGATTGTTCTCTGCAGCTGTTCTACTGCCCAGAGCCTGGAGCCTGTAGGAAGTGGGCCTCAGCTCAGGTGCGTTGCACGTGGACACGGGGCACTGCCATGCCGGGTTAAGCTCTGGCTACAATCTGAGCTGACAGAGGAGAGCTTTACACTGCCCAACAGGCACATCCAGTGTTCAGGCCTTCATTCTCAACCTGGAGCGCACACGCCCGGTAAACTATAAATGCTTTGAGTCACTTCGAAAGTCACAGTCAATGAGGGAATGGTCAATCAGTGCCACTTTCTATTCCCCCTGAGATAAGGAACAAAATCACTCCTTTTTGTATGTGGCAAGCTATAGTAATCTGCTATAAAATGTGAGCAGATTAACAAAATATAGCTTTAAAACTTTGCCATTGGCTGCTTTTCCCATGGGAGCCCTGCTGGTCCTTCGCCTCTGTTATATAAGGTGTTATGTTATGTCTCATATTCAACACACCGATGTAAATGCGAATTATGGCACTGAGACTGGTGTGACTTTTGCGTCCGACCTAATGAGAATCCGCCCTTGTTGTTGAAGATGCAGCCTTAATAGTGCGGTGTCAGTCTTTGGGAGCATTCCACTACTTTGCACAAGGCTGAAATGCCATTGGTTAAGATAATGGAGGTGAGTGATGTAAAGTTCAGTAGAAAAAGAGCCTAATGCCTTCTTAAGGTGAGCCATTTCAGTGCGCAGCCACATTTGTATACGTCTGCGTATTTACCCGCAAAGGGAGGGAGGTGACCTTTCCATGTGGAGATGGTGTCTGCATGGAAACGCCACATGCTGCATCCTAATGGCCACCCAGGGCCACCTCGCCTCCGCGCCCATCCTCATATTTGCCTAAACGCGCGGTTAAAAAGACTTCTCCAGATCTTTGCCTGAAATTTGTATAATAGAGAAATGGTCATCGGCACAATGCAAGTGTTAACCAAGAATTAATAATATTAGTAATACTGCAAAACTTGTCAATAGTACATGTTGTACAGGGTCTATAGGGACAGTACAGAGGGTCTAACGACAGTCCAGAGGGTCTAACGACAGTCCAGAGGGTCTAACGACAGTCCAGAGGGTCTAAGGACAGTCCAGAGGGTCTAAGGACAGTCCAGGGGGTCTAAGGACAGTCCAGGGGGTCTAAGGACAGTCCAGAAGGTCTAAGGACCGTCCAGAGGGTCTAAGGACAGTCCAGAGGGTCTAAGGACAGTCCAGAGGGTCTAAGGACAGTCCAGAGGGTCTAAAGACAGTCCAGAGGGTCTAAAGACAGTCCAGAGGGTCTAAAGACAGTCCAAAGGGTCTAAGGACATTCCAGAGGGTTTAAGGACAGTCCAGAGGGTCTAAGGACAGTCCAGAGGGTCTAAAGACAGTCCAGAGGGTCTAAAGACAGTCCAAAGGGTCTAAAGACATTCCAGAGGGTCTAAGGACAGTCCAGAGGGTCTAACGACAGTCCAGAGGGTCTAACGACAGTCCAGAGGGTCTAAAGACAGTCCGGAGGGTCTAACGACAGTCCAGGGGGTCTGAAGACAGTCCAGAGGGTCTAACGACAGTCCAGAGGGTCTAAAGACAGTGTACATTTGTGTTTTGTACACATTTGAAGGGGCTTACCCGTTGGCTTGCAGAAGGACTCCTAATATGCAGAGTTCACATCAGTTCGGGAAGCTGTTGTTTTGGATGTGTTTAACGACTTGAGCGAGCAGCTGGAACATTTAGTGAATTTGATGGTGATGGTTCTAAGAATACACACACACACACACACGCACACGCACACACAGAGACAGACGCATGCACAGACAGACCTCTACCTTTTTCCTCCAAACAGCCACAGATGAATTACCCTTTTTACTTTTTTCCACTGAGAAACATACTGAACATACTTATTGGAGAAGGGCCCTGTGCTTGGATGCAGAAATGTTCCACATTATGGCATTATATTGTCTGTACGTAGAACTGCTCCCAATGTCTGCGGCTCCTGTACTGATAGAAATTGTTTAAATGTAGCAACAAAAGTATTCCTTCCTTTAACATTGAATCCCTGTTATATCTGTGGTTTTAGTTGTTTACCCCTCAGCGAGTCCCCGGCCCACTCTACAAAGGTTTCTATATGTCTTGAATCATGAATGGAACGTGCACATTCAGAATATTGATGTCAATATTAATGTAATAGTTAAAAAAGAACATTTTTATTTGTGTGGACTCTCATGCATACAACAAAAACCTGTCAATACAGAAACATATTTTCTTTGTTTGAGAAAGTTGCCGTGGTTTATGTACATGGAAGAGAGACTGACAGTCTCATTATGTTTCTGTGTGAGTGAGGGCGAGACAGAGGTGCACCAGTCAACAGTGCTCCCTGCCTCCTGCTGCTCTGCGCATCATTAGGAAAATGAACGATTGGAGGGTTGTGGGAGAAAGAGTGATTCTGTGCCATGGCCACGGGCTGTGGGCAGCCTGATTACTCTGCTCAGCCTCCTCCTTACCTGGCGGCCCACTGACTACCCTCCGCATACTAACTCCCTGTTCCCGTTTCCTCCTCCACACTTGTACCACACACAGCACTTCTCTGTCTCCATTCAGCTGGGAATTCATCATGCAGTCACCCGGACAGTTCATGCAGTCACCCAGACAGTTCATGTGGTCACCCAAGTTCATGCAGTCACCCAGACAGTTCATGTGGTCACCCAGACAGTTCATGCAGTCACCTAGATAGTTCATGCAGTCACCTAGACAGTTCATGCAGTCACCTAGACAGTTCATGCAGTCACCCAGACAGTTCATGCAGTCACCTAGACAGTTCATGCAGTCACCCGGACAGTTCATGCAGTCACCCAGACAGTTCATGCAGTCACCCAGACAGTTCATGCAGTCACCCAGACAGTTCATGCAGTCACCCAGACAGTTCATGCAGTCACCCAGACAGTTCATGCAGTCACCCAGACAGTTCATGCAGTCACCCAGACAGTTCATGCAGTCACCCGGACAGTTCATGCAGTCACCCGGACAGTTCATGCGGTCAATGCAGTCACCCAGATAGTTCATGCGGTCACCCAGACAGTTCATGCGGTCACCCAGACAGTTCATGCGGTCACCCAGACAGTTCATGCAGTCACCCAGACAGTTCATGCAGTCACCCAGACAGTTCATGCAGTCACCCAGACAGTTCATCCGGTCACTCATGCGGTCACCCAGACAGTTCATGCAGTCACCCAGACAGTTCATGCGGTCACCCAGACAGTTCATGCGGTCACCCAGACAGTTCATGCAGTCACCCAGACAGTTCATGCAGTCACCCAGACAGTTCATGCAGTCACCCAGACAGTTCATCCGGTCACTCATGCGGTCACCCAGACAGTTCATGCAGTCACCCAGACAGTTCATGCAGTCACCCAGACAGTTCATGCGGTCACTCATGCGGTCACCCAGACAGTTCATGCGGTCACCCAGACAGTTCATGCGGTCATCAACCTTCTTTCCGAGGCTCAATTTGGACATCTTCATTTCTTAATAACTTAAAACTGATCAAAGATAGAGGCTTTATGTAGACGTTAAGGGTGCCCAAAGTTTATGTAGGAACTTAGATGGAAACATTTATTTGCATATTAAATTGAGGCAATCATTATTTCTATGTTTTAAATTTACTGACAGTTTTAAACAGTACTTCATATTGTTGACTTTAAGGTATATGAGGATTTTCTACTTCCAGGTGGATCATCAAAACTATTGGTCCTCCCACTTGTCAATCATTCTGGTGATACGTGCTTGTCCAATAAGACCAGAGAGTTTTCAAACAGTGGAGAGGGCGGTTCTTTCCTAAAATTTGTAAAAATCCTCCAATATACCTTATATAGTCCACCATGGCGCTTAGCGAGAGAAACCGTTGATTCATATTTGATTATATTTAGCAAATTAGTCTGCTGTCTGCTCCATTAGCTACAATAATTAAAGCGTATTCATTTTTGGTTGAGATTTTCTACTTTTCAAGAAGCTGCCAGTGGATCATTGTAAGCATTAGATTTAAATGTAAATTAAAACAATGTATGAATCACATTAACCCTTTAACATTAACTCGTTGAAGAAAGCAATGTATTTTCTAAGATGTAGGAACAGAAATTATTATTTTTATTATTACCATATTTTTTGCACTATTAGGCGCACATGAAAGCCTTTAGTTCCAACACGGAGCTTATTATCCAGTGCACCTTGAATAAGAAAATAAAGGCATAATTTGATAATTTAATTTAATTTAATTTATTTATTTGATAGGGACAATGCACATTAATGAACATCAGTATAAAACAAATGTAAATATGCTGGATTATATCTACCAAACCTTATAATCAGGAGTGCCTTAAAGTGTAAAGAATACGGTATACTTATTTCTTTTAAATTTAAGGCCTTTACCAAATGGTTGATAATACATTTTGATAATACATTTTGGTTGTATGGCGTTTTTACAGGCCCTCTAGGTTGCCGTACAGAGTTAAAATCAAAACAGTAAAAGGTGGACAGTGAAACGTTGGGTCATAGTGAGATAGTTTGATGGTAAAACTGCCAAAAACCAAGTATTTCAGTCCCAAGCTCAAAGGACATAATGACTCAAAAGATGATGTAGCAAATGGTTGAGGAAACTATTAAAGCAGAGGTCTCCAACCAGTAGCTTGGGATCCACCAGTAGCTCACCACCTCCTTCTAGGTAGCTCACCAAAGGATTTAGAAATGAACAAATCAAATAATATACTTAACATTTCAGATTGTATTATTTATTATCAGTATGTTTTATTGTAAATGCACTTACTTTGTCACCCGGCTCCCATCTCTGTGTGGAGTGAGAGACTAATGCCCAAAAATAACAATTGTAAACCGCTTTGTGACTCTGGTCTGTGAAAGGCGGTATATAAATAAACATGACTTACTTACTTACTTACTAGTAACAAATACGTGATGATAAATAATGACCCAATATCAGGCTCTTTCACACCAAGATATCACCACATTTTTCCCAGAGCGGCTTAAAGGAGTAGCTCTCTGCCTTTATCGTCCCGGGAAAGTAGCTCTCTGGGTGACAAAGGTTGGAGACACCTGTATGAAAGGGTTAAGTAAGTGTGTAACATTATTGTAGATGAGAAAACCCTCTGGACTCCAATTTGAGTCTTTAAATTCTAAACCTAATTAAAACAATGCGTATGAAATGGTACAAACCCGTGGAGTTGTCGTTTTCATTTATTCCAACCATTTCTTATTTTGCAACACAAACAAATTCACACATTGCCGTTCACACATTAATTATGCAGTTAGAGAAAAACCGCAATGGTGGAAAGGAAGGAAGGTGAAAATGAGGAGTTCAGTTTTCTTGTACTCTGTTGAATATTCATACAAGATCAATTTTTGAAGCTTTCGGGCGTCGTCTACTCCACCACAATCACTTCCTATTTGCGAAAGCTGTGAGCTAGCTACCAGGAGAGGCGTCTGCGCTGCAAGGTAAGACATATGTGAGGTGTCTGTGTTGATCAGCAGCACCACTCTTCCAAACTACACTCCGGAGATTTTATTTGATCAATTTTGCAGAATGTGTCACTTGTGTCTGCGGATGTGCCCTGACGTTTGCTGCCTTTTGTTAGTCTCTCTGCTTACCTGTCATCCCTAAAACTCTAGCCTCGGCACAGTTTGTTTCACCTCTCCAAGATGTTCCAAAGCACTTAAAGATAATTATTGCCAAATGATGCTCTAATGAGGGGAGCGACTGTCTTCTCACCGAGTCTGTGCGTGAAAAGAGCGGGGAAGTCTTGGTGTGACGCCATTTTTTTTAGGCGTCGTTCTCTTTTGACGGGGTTTTCTTTAGATGCTGCTCAGGTTTGACGCTTGCCATCATAATTGGCTGCGCACTGTGGGTTGCAAATTGGAGGAGATTTATTAAAAAGCATCTTAAAGAGGTTAGAAATGTCTGTTGCAAAGTCAAATTAACATTTTTTGCCTTTTTTGTTGCTATTTTTCATCAACCGCTCTGCCTCCCTGTGTTCCTGAAGAGGTCAGATGCAGCCCTTCATTTGTGGAGGAGGATTTTCGACTCTTGTGGAAAATTGCTAAGCATTTAGAGCTATCGGAGAGGGTCGGGACCCTTACTTTAATTTTTATCTTTTCCACCAAGCAGCACGACCTCCAGCACATAGCAGCGATCACGTCCACGTGCTCACTACTTTCTATATACCTGTTTTCTCCCTCAATCAGGCGCAGTCCTCCAGGGATTACTTGGCTTCTGGATTATACTTATTTAGATCATCTTTAGGGACTCACTTAACATGTTTTGATACATTTTACATCATTTTACAAGCAGATTAATAATAATAATAATAACATCAAAGACGCTTCAAATTGCATTTTTCATTCACTCCCTTCACATGTGATAAACTACTTCAAGCCACAGCTGCCCTGGGGTGGGCAGGTGGAAGTGAGGCTGCCAATCTGAGCCAACAACTTCATGAATTAATAATCTACTAATTAATTATCAAAATAATCGTTAAATATGGTCCTCCTCACAATGTGTCCTCGCTGTGGAACGGATACGGGTCTTGTCTCATGTTCTCCCCAACGTCAGAGATTACACTCTGGTGGGCTCTTCTTGATAGTTTGACCATTCACCAGTCATCAGGCGATCTCTATAGGCCAGACCTGGGCAAAGTACGGCCCGGGAGCCACATACGGCCCAATGCACTTTCCTATGCGGCCCCCGAACCCCTCCTAGTTGTTAACCTCAAACCGGTCTGTGGCTGATTTAAAGGAATTAGGAGTCAATTCTTAATGAAGACGTGTATTAATATGTGTTAGCGTGACATGTTGTACATTTATTCTGTTCTCATTAATGAATCCAATATGTTATTAGTAATAATAATAGTGGTAATAAAAATGGTAATACAAAATCCCAGTAATATATATTTTTACATTTTGAAACTGAGCTTTTTACTGAATCAAATAAAAAATAACCCACGTAAAACTGGATCTGGCCCTCCACAATAAGGCAATATCCCAATGTGGCTTTCCAAGAAAATAATTGATAATTGCCCTCTCAAACTAATGGCAAAAGTTGCACCCAGAGAAAAGAGACTTATGCAAACCATTCTTTATGTTTTTATTTGTAAAAAGATAAAGCCATGTATCATTTTCCTTTCACTTCACAATTGTCTTCCCTTTTGTGTCGGTGTTTCACATGAATGAAAATACTTCTTTCTTGTGTTTATGGTCGTAACGTGCTATCCACTCGGCACAGGGGCTGAGTAGATAGCACTCTTGCCTCTCAGCAAGAAGGTCCTGGGTTTGAATCCCGGTCGGAACAGGGTCTTTCTGAGTGGAGTTTGCATGTTCTCCCTGTGCCTGCGTAGGTTTCCTCCGGGTACTCCGGTTTCCCCTACCACTAAAAACATGCTCACTAGGTTAAATCCTCCAGCTCTGGTTCTGACCAAGCCGAGCATCAACTTCTGGAGATGGGTTCCCCGGGCGCTGTTACTACGGCGACCATTCCTCCTGACGTAAGCCTTAGCGGCATCAGGATCTGGGTCAAATGCAGAGGATGAATTGAAATGAAAAGGTTTTGAATACTTTTGCAAGCCCCAGTATCCACACTCAGGGAAGATGTTGTGTTTAAACGTTCTTTATGAAGACGTTTCACAAAGGTTTCTATAGTAATCCGCATCAGCCACTCGCAGGCACTGGACTGGAACTAATGAAGACATCTATTCAATTACCAGCTCAATTAATGCAAGTGCCTGTGGGAGCGAGGATCACAGACGAGCTGGAGCAGGAAGAACCACACCAGCAGATGACCAAGACCAACAACATTTTCATCTGTCCTTTTGGCTCAGCTGGTCTGTCCATGTCCACTTCACTCAGAGCTTTAAAGGCTTGTGAATGGGACTCCTGAAGTACGGCCTGGTCCGGTCTGTCCTGCTCCACGAGGGTCAGATACAAACCCTCATTCTCTTCTTGGATTTTCACCTCTCTCCAGTGGTTGATCTAAATTTGACCAAGCACAACACAAAGTCCAATTTAGTCTGATTTCCCTTATTCCAGCTTTGATTCTTGCTTTGCTGCTATTGATTTCATACAACTTGTTATGTTGTGTTTCTCCGCTTTCTTGTTTTTGGATAAATCCATGTTGTTTACAGTGTGCGATGACCCGCAGGGCGTCAAGATTATTCTTAACCCTCTTCTTTGCTCCGCCTTTGTGGTGTATCGATAGCTCGGCCATGTTTGCTTATAATTAAGTCCAGAACACAGCCCTGATGGGACCGGACTCAGGACCTCTCGGCCCAATTAAAGACTACTTTCGTACTTCATTCACACCTGCTTTGTACAATATACAAACGTTCATTTTAATCAGAGGGTTGCGTCCATTGAAGCGCAGTTGAAACGCGATAGTAGTTCCCATGATGCAAAGCCATTTGGAATTGCCACAGTGAATTACATAGCAACATAAAGCACCTTGTTGCCCAAAGGGAAATGTTCCACACTGATTAAAGATTAAATATGGAAAAACACTGAGCTTCATAAAAAGGGAAAAAAGTCTAATTATTTCCCTCAAAATAAAATAAAAAAGATAAGGGCCACTGGGGAGAAGGCTCTAATTATTTCATTTATCTGTAAAAGGCCTCGTGAGGATGTGCCTTTCTTCTCTTCTCTCCGCACACCTTTAGCTTCCGTCGCCTTATTGCATGATATTACATCTCTTTCTGTGCTTAATCTTCACAGCACTAGATATATGGAGGACAATAATTGCCTTGGTTCTGCGGATTACCAGACATTGATGGTAATTACTAAAGGTGACTGAGTAATTTAAATGAGTGCACAGTCCTCTGTGGCTCATTAGCAGCAGCAAAGCTCTGAAGACCTCTGCTAAAGCCACCAGTTGGAAAATGGGCCGACCTGCTCTTAATCACATATTGTAAAATCCATGTCTGCTCCTGCCATTTGTTACACAGTAAGAATGAAATACTGATGCAGGCAGCGAATACCAAACTCATTTAGGGCTTATTGTATGTATATATTTTTGAAGAGACTAAACAAATGTAGCCTATTATTGGGATTTGATTTTGATGACAACCTCTAGAAATGTCAATATATAACAACGAAAATCTTTATTGCTACATCACATGATAAAAGGTAAAAGAATCTAACTATAATCTAATCTTAATCTAACTTTTTGCTTGATTTTTTTGCTAAACTTAAGGGCTTCTGTTCTTGTCCAGATAAGTACAAGACGGGCCAAGAAACCGTGTTCTGAATGGTTCTGTTTGGATGCACATTTTTAATAAGTAATAAGTAACTCGGATACAATCAAGCATTACTAATGGATCAATCATCAACTGTGTGTGTTTGACACCGGGTTTTATGATTGGAAAAGGCAGGTAATGGACAGAACCATTTTATTGGTATCTCCATGAGACTTTTCAACTGTCCTTTTCTCCTGAATCATATTGTAAACGTAGTTCGTCATTGAAAATAATTTAACAATATTAATTTAACAGTTTCACATAAATACGTTCAGTGCACATTTTTCTATCAATCCACATATATTTTCAGTTATTTATTCAAGGTTTTTTTTTTTCTCACTAAAACAATCAGATGTGCACTTTCCGGGTTTTTACTTTTCCTTGCAGTCCTCTCATTCTGGATGTTTTTGTGGTCAGCCTGTGTTTTCGTGAGGAAGTGATGCAACCACCCTGGAGAGCGGAGCTGCACAGCCGGGGGCATGTGTGTCTGCAAATGGTGCACCCAAAACAAGGTCTCCCCAGTGCGGTGACAGAGGCAGCTCGGCCTGTAAACAGCCCTGACAGTAATCATATGTGTTTGCTGTGTTATGCTTCATCACCTGTCCAGTACCAAGCCTTATTAAAGGACAAATGACTCTTAATAAAGCACATTCTCTCACCTCCTGCAGTCTCTCCGTCTCCCTGTCTCTGGTGTCACTTTCCCTGCACCCTCCAGCCCCCTCCCCACTTGGGAAGCCAGGGTGCAAGACCATGGGGTAGTGGGATTGGCCGGTTCCACGCTGAGATTGATTACCCCTCTAATCTTAGGACTGCCAGTGTGTCTCCGGGGCGAAAACTCCAGCTTGAATCCCCCTGTTCTCCTACCCCGGCACCCCTGGACCCCCCCTGGACCCCCCCCCCCCCCCCCCCCCCATCCCCTTCATCCCTCTGTCCCTGTGCTGCCAGAAGGGCTGAGGGACGACACTAAGTCACAGCTGCAGACAGGGCCACTTGCTCGCACTGCCTGCCTTGTTCCCCATATGTCACGGCAAATGGGGCTCCAGTGGACTCTGCCATGGACTCACACGGCAGGAAAAGAATTTCAAGAAGATGTGGATTGGGGATGAGGGTTCGAGAAGCAAGACTTGAGCAATAGACCAGAACTGAGGAGCTGTTAATGAAGTTAAAAAATAATTGTAACTAGTGATGTGTGTTTAGTAGTTTGGATTGACAACATCTGACAGTTGAGTCCAGCTAAAATGAATGTGTGATAATTAAAATAATACAAAAATGCTAATTGAAAACTGAGGAAGCAAGTGAATTAAAGTATCTGCTGTAGTTTCTTTACTAAAATCACTTATTTTTTGTTGTTTTGTTATCCTTTTTATATATATCGTCTCAGAACAGAGCGCAGCTGAAAGATGTATGTTCTTTGGTGTTAATGTGCCGAGTTCACACGTGATTTGTTAAGAGAGCTGCAGGTGATGACATGTCACCCCCAGTGCTGCATTATCAAGGCATCAAGGACACAAGGTGCATGACAACTTGTAAAGGTGACAATTGTGCTTGTGATGGTTGGATCTGTCATCCAGATGTTGGGGAAATGAGCTTTCTCGGTGACACACTCAGGCTGAGGCCGAGACTGGGTGATGACAATACCTTAAAAATGTCACTGTGGTGCTGTTGAGGTTCGTCTCTCAGGGACAGAATTATTTATCACAAAAGTCTATAGTGTTGAGGCTGGATCACGTCATAAGTTGCACTGTTATTCTTTCTGCTCTATTATAGAACGTGTGATTTTCATACATCGTTCAACAGCTCAAATTCGATGTCAAAAAACGTTAACACCACAATTATAAAAAGAAGAAAGCCTTTTGTAAGTCAACCTTGTTATTAAAAAGTAGGCTATTGCTGCACCAATCCTGTTACAAAGTAGGCAGCGACTGCAGGAGTCCAAAATATAGTGCTTTAATTTGAAGAATAAACAAAAACACATATGTCCTTGATGGAAGTATTTGCACCAAAGCTATATTCCTCAGTGAGAGAGTGAGTAATAGTTGAAAGCACAGCTCATTTCATACAGATGAGTGCACCGCCCAAAAGAAAGGTCTAGACAACTGTCAGAAATCTCTTTGAAATGCTCTCTCAGGCCACCGCCGATTGCCCACACCCACATACTCACAAACCAGCACTTCAGCAAGTCTTTGAGGGCACTGTTTTCTAATTCACCTCTGCACCTGTTTATACCTTCTCCCCATTCTTCCTTTTTTCCATGTCTGAGTGAGTCCGAGGCCTAGTGAAAAAAAATGGAGAAAAAACAGCGTGGGTGAATCTGAGCAGAGAAACATCCTCTGGGTCTTTTTCCTTTTTTAAAAGAACTCCTCCAGATCTCATGTTTAATTTATGAAGGAGGGCTCAGGCGTGATACATCCTGGCATGACAGGCAGAGTCCATCTTTGTCCGTGGAAAAAAAAACATGGATTGGACCGGACCTGGGTGATATGCCAGCCTCCTTCAGGTAGCTGCAGAGCGGTCAACAGCTGGGGGCTAAACCAACTCTTTCATTGGAACCAAAGCGTGCTTAATTAAACAAGTTCCCCTCGGTCAGAAAGCAGCTGGAGTCTCTTTACTCAGAGTGCCAGTCAGTGCCAGACTGGCTCCGAGGCACACTCCAGTACACAAAGGGAGCGATGACGGAGGAACGCTCAAACGCATCACAGGAGGCTGTTCTGAGATGTAAAGATTGAGAGTTTAAGAAGAGGAATAGGATGTGCTAGCTCTGGCTCACCCACATCCGAATAAAACCGTCAAATCACAGCCCACTCCCTCAAAGTCGACGGCGTAGCTTTATGTGCAGGCACAAGACGAACAAATTCAATTTGGTTTGGTTGCATACTTGCTGTACTTGGAAGCCTTTCCCCACTCACACAAAAAAATATAGAAGCAAACACAAACTTCAACAACTAAAATCTTGTCAAGCCGAGCAGCGAGTAAAGATTAAGCCGCCAAGTCTGCCTTCGGAGAGCAAGATGTTGTGGTCAAACCTGGGGCTATTTGAGCGAGAAGATTGAGAGAGTAGATGGCATGAAAACAGGATGTGTTGGTTCTAAATCCGAGCTGGGGTTGCAGACTGGGGGACATGGAAGGGGGAAGCCTGTACAAAATGGGCAATTTCATAGTACATATGTGGATTAAGTTCACTCCTTTGAAAACGCGCCGGAATGCCCATGTACCAATTACACTGGGGTGGTTCGGGCAGGCGCTCTGGGGCCATGTTTTTGGATGTTCTAGCACCTCCAAGTGCTTGGGTTTGCCAGATTGTCTGCGGGCAGCTTTTGTTTCTGCTTTGATTTGGTGCCAGTGAGGCCTCGCAGGCTGTTGGCACCCCGACACCTCCCGTCAATAGGCTGGCACAGCATGCACAGGGTATCAGAAATGACCCAATTAGAGGATGGCAATGTGTTCTGACAGCCACTACCTGCTTGGGTGTGTTTCACTCCCGTTTTTGGAGTAAATTTGGGTCCTGCGAACATACCAACCTTTTGTTTTTTTGTATTTGTGTAAAGCATTTTAGATTGTATGAGTGTTTGTGTGAATGGTGTGTCTGTGTTTTTTGACAGAAGTAAAAAAAATCCTGTTTTAAAAATAGTTAAAAATTAATGTATCTTTACGATTCCGTCTTGTGTCAATCCTTCTCTCAGTTACCGAACCGAAGTGCTAAAGGGTCCCAAACCTTCAAAATATGTGTGGCATGGTGAAATGTAAACTAATTGAAATGGTGAAATTGTTCTTCAGTCTCAATGGTCGCTAAAAAGTGTGAGAAATTAAGACAGGCAGCAGCGATCTTAGACACTCGTGATACTCCGTTTTTTTTTAGTTTTTCCTAATCTAACCAAAGACAAGGCGTTTCATATGAGTTGTATGATGTGCAATAAATTGGAGATGTCATCCCGTGAGATATAAATGACTCAAATGCTTAAGATAAACCCTCATAAGATATAATGAGGGTAAATCAAATACTGTAGGAGCCAAAATGTACCTCCCCTATCCCCAAGGTGGCGCTGTGGGCGTTGTGTGACCCATTCTTGTGTGACCCATTCTCTTATAAAAGGGACAGAATTAGAGGGCGCCAGGTGCTGTAGGTTTGCAGGTAAACAGTTTCTCACCGTGTCCATTACTGTGGATTAATGGTCATTGGGGCCAATAGAGAAACCTCTAAAACACTATTTGTTGTTTGTGGAGACCCTAACCCTTTAAGCTTGGCAGCCAGAAGACGATCTGTAAGGAACATCTTTGCCTCTACAAGTAGGTTCAGTTCTTCAGATAATAATGTTTCCGCAGTAATAAAGAAATAATATTGAACACATGCTTCTTTGACACCATCTTTTTCCTTTTCTCTTTCTGCTTTTGCCATAAACACAGCTCTTTGCGGCTGTGCAGATATGAGCGGATTGGTTTTGACTAAGAACACTGCGATTAGAGAGCTCAGTGACAGAAACATTATCCTCTGAGTTAGCTTGTCAGAGTTCATCGCTGTGACTGACAAGACTCTGGATCTCCCATTCTCTTTCTCTACTCGTGTGGCTGTTTCTCCTCCGTGCTTCTCCACCCCTTCAGTATTCTTAATCTGTCTGTCTTTCCCCTCGTGCACAGCCTCAGTTCAGTGGGATTCTGTGCCGGTGTGTGTCAGTGTGAGCCTGGGCCCGCTCTGCACAAGTCAGACTCCACAAATAGATCAAACGTCATGAGATATTAACATTTCTCATTAAAACGTGCATTCATTTTCGCATTGCATTTCTTCTTGTTTTTGCAGTTACTTTAAAGGAGATTATACTTGTTCGAGATTTTTAACCATGTTACGACACTGTTCCTTAGTTTTTAGATCCATGCACGCTAACATCATGTCTATTGTGTGTACTAAGTGTGCACTTGTACATACTAGAAATGTTATGAAGATTTTGTACGCATTCTTTTAAAGCCATTTTTACTTTTATAACTTTAGAGTTTATGAATTCCTAGTTTGTGACTTCTTTTACTTTATGGCAATGCAAATACTTCTGATCACACTCACAAAAGTCTTACCCATTAATTAGTTTTGACATTAGTCTTCTCTGTTGAAATCAGGTTGTTTACCAGCGCATGGTTCTGGTTGGAGCTGGTAATAATAACTACACTTTTTAGTAAGAGGGCCACTTTAGTTCATCAGACTTGACCTGGGGCTGACAACCTGGATTTAAAAAAACTGGATTCGAACTGGATTGACTGAATTCAGACAGCGATAGGAAAAATAAAGTAAAGGCAACTTAAACAAATAATTGAATAATATAGTACACAAAACAAAACAACCAACATTTACTGTATGATCTCGTCTGCCGAGAATGAGGCAACGAAGTCCTTCTGAAAAGAAGATTTTATTTGATTATTGTGACACAATCATAAAACACATGTCAGTAAATAACAATGTAGTCAACAAGTGGGTTCCAGAGGGTCTGAGATCTACAACAAGTTATAGCACGACTGTATTGGTGGAGCTGAAGTTGGTTGGATGACATTGTCAAAGTGCCTCAATGGCGACTTTGTGTTAGCAGAAGGCCATATAAAATAGCACAGAGGGCCGCAATTGGCCCGCAGGCCTGAGTTTGGACATGGCTGCTCTACTGTTTCCTCTTCATTAGCTTGAATGGCTGAGCTGCTCCATCTGAGAGGCCGCGGTGAAGGTTTGGCAGCTGATCCCCTCCAGCGTTCTACTGGTCGTGAGGCGCCCGGCACAGGTCTCCGCTGGCATGTTAGAGCAAGCTGCCAGGATGGATGGGCAGTTGGCACGCGGTCCACTACCAGCTGGTGAGGTTCTGTGCCATCCGGCTCATCTGTCAAAAAGCAACACAACTTCTCCAATAAGTGTGTGTTTAATCAAAGTGTGGAGTCGCGTTCTTTGTCCAAGCGGAAAAAAACCAGAGCAGAAAACATTTAAAATCAGGCAAATAGAGATAGATACATAACTTTATTACAGACTCATGTCCAGGCCGTAGAGAATGGTGAAGGTGTTGGGAATGTGGATGTTTGAGTTGTGACATTTACCTAGTGTTGTTTTCTCTGCTCCTGTGCTTAGTTCGGACTTTTATAAAGGTTTGCTCAAGTTTACTTTACTCATCTGGGCAATTATAACTTTAATGATGTCAGAATGTGCAATATAGAACCACATGTGTCCACTTTTGCTCTACTACTGCTAACATGTGCAGATGTAAACACACAACTACACTGTATATGGGCTTGTTCACACTAAAGGGGACAAAAGTGTGACAGAAGGCCAAAAAATTGAATTAAATAATCAGAAGATATTTTATGTTTTTAATTTATCCAAATCCTTCTTCATTAGTAGTTGCTGGAACAAAACTGTTGTATACATTAGTCAAGTGTTCTATAGTGGCCTTGTTTATGTGTGTCACAGACCGGATCCTCTGAATGAGATTTCCACATTTGATTAAGAGATTCTAAAAAAGTTTTTTTTCTCAAGTTTAATTTTTAGAAAAAAAATACGGAAACCATCAAGTCTGTTACACATTTTTCAAGGGTCATAAGTGTTGATATTTTTTTTGATGATTCTTTTTTAAATGGAGTGATTTCCTGATGTTGTGTTAATGTTAATCTTGTGGGAGTTGTATTTGTCAATCTTTCCTTTTGATTTTATCCAAAATATCTCATCTATTTGTCTGTGTTTCAAATATAACCTTTTAAAGTCCAGATACTATAATCATATATACTTGCACTAGAATATTATATACTGTAGACCGTATATAGATTTCTGACCGTATACAGATTTTTTTTTTGTACTAATGCTAAAGACAGAGATATTATTCTTATTGTTCATTCATCTTGTGCTGTGTGCTCCTCATTCCTACTGTTCTGTAACTGGTGATGCAACTCTGACATTTCCACCCGGCAACGGATGAAGAGGAAGAATTGGACATTAACTAGACCTTTTCTGTTGGACAAACACATATGATACTTATAGGTACTTCATCTTTAAAAGTAGATTGACTTGTCTATGTATATTTATTGACCTTGCAATATCGCTGACTCTTTATTTGTTGCTTGCACATTCAGAATGATTGATTGTTAGCGCAGGTTACACGACCAACAAACCTTTTAGGAACATAGACCTAGTTCTTCTCTTGCGGCACCTGTTAAGTTGTTTGTTGCCGAGGACAAAGACACTCCATCATGTGCGGTAAATGATGTCTGGCTTTCTCTCCCCCTCCAGGGATATTCAACTGTGGACTTTCTTTTTTCTTTTCCTCTGCTGAGAATTTCGCGCTGTTTGGGACAATAGCTGATCTAAGAAGGCCTTGGTTAATTTGTACAACTCGCCACATCTCACTGTAGTGCAACAGCCGAGTGCTTTCAGCGGAAGAGTGAATTGACTTTGGCCATTATCTTTTGATAGATAAGGGGCCCGTGGGTGCTCTCCTGCGTCCCTCAGGGTGTGGCTCTGAAGATGGAGGACATGTTTTTAGCCATTGACATTGATGCAATACAAGCCAGAAGCAAGGGTACTAATGTTTTTGTGTAGAGTCCACTCAATCCTGTCTCCGAGTGTCCTCTCCGTGCCCTGGCCCCAGCCTGAAGCCAAAGACGGTGGCCTGCAAGCACAAGTCGTTAAGCCTGTTTAGAACGGGCTGGAGGTCAGAGCTGTGAAAGGTGTAATGTATTGGCTCCTAATAGACTCACAAATCACCACACTCCAAAGAGCTCTTTTTTTCCACAGCTATTACCAATATAAATCAATTAGTTACCACTTTCAGCATAGTAGACATGAATTATAATAGTCATAATAATACATCAAACTTATATAGTGGTTTTTTGGACACTCAAAGACACTTTACAAAACACTTAAAACTAAACGTTGAAGAACAAAATGAAGGAAAAGCTGAAACAGGTGGGTTTTAAAGTGTTTTAAAATTCTGAAGTGAGTCGGAGTTTCTGATTGGTTTTGGGAGTGAGTTCCAGAGAGTGGGGGCAGCTGCAGGGAAGGCTTGGTGCCCCAGGGTTCAGTGTTTGGTCCTGAGGTGTTTAGTAAGGAGGTCGGCGTCTGTGGATCTGAGGCGACGGGACGGACAGTGATGATGGAAGAGGTCAGTGAGGTGAGAAGGAGGAGGTTATGGCGGGACTTGAAGGTGAGAAAGTGGAGAGCCTTGTGTTGGATACGATATGGAACACGAGCCAGTGGAGTTGTTTGAGGACAGGGGTGATGTGGTCTCTGGATTGGGTGTGGGTGAACATGTGGGCGGCAGGCATTGACATATGTTAGTCAGATACTGGGTAATTAAAATGAAAGTTAAAGCTGGTTTATATAACTGAATAATATTAGTAGTAGTAATAGTCTTTTCAAAAACATAAGGTACATAAGAATTACACTGCA